GAAAAAGGGTATCTAAGGCCTTAAATTGTCAGTGACATGGTCACATGAGGTTCTGAGGTGGTCTTGCTACACTTTCTTGTGATCATACCAAAAATTGGGTCTAAGCGACATGATTACGCCGGAATTGGGCATGGTCATGCCACAGGTCCGTATACTCCGTATAGGAACCAGCCGTCAACAATGATAAACTTATGACAAATAAATATTCAATCCAGATGTAGACTCCAAAAATGGAAATAATATAAGAAATTATGAGAAATAAATTAAATCATATGATAATGCTTGGGTTTCCTCCTAAGAAAAGTTTTGTTTAACTTCCTCAGTTAGATGAATTCTCCTCAATCCAGCCTAAATGAGGTCTCCAAGATCAAATTGCCAATTTAGCAATACTTGATCACTCATCTCAAATTCAGGTTGTTCTATATCCTTCCAAAATCCTAAAGTAATGTATTTCTTTCAAATTCTTCCCACGTGTATCAATTCTCTCTTATCCAAAAATTGAGGTTTTGAAGTGACATCTCTTTTCCATTCATAAAATAATCAGTGCTCATAAGGGATAGACAAAGGGGTTCTCCTAACAGGTCTTGGCCTACTGGCTGGACTTCTACTTCAAGATGAGGAACATCATCATTAATCAGATTATCCAAAATTCATCTATTATCATTTTCTTGTCAAGGGTCACTTCCTTTGATTCTAAAGATTGGCTCTGTACTTCCCGTGCCACCACTTCTACTTTATGGTTTTGATCATTCCTAGAGGCTTGGGGAAGGTCTCGTGATATTAAAATACTAAATGTGACTTCTTGATCATACTCTCTCAAAAATATGTTCCCTTCTAAACATCAATAATAGCCCTACCAGTAGCTAAGAAAATTCTCCCAAAAATCACATGCATTTCCTTATCTTCTTTCAAGTCCAACATCATAAAATATGCAGGAAAAGTGAATTTGTCCATTATGATAGGCAAATTTTCAACCAGTTCTAGAGGATGAGCCACAGATTGATCCTCTAGCTGAAGCGTGAGACTGTCAGGCTTAATTTTTCCCCTTCCAAGTTGCTTGAAAATATTTAGGGGCATGAGATTAACACTAGCTCATAAGTCAAAAAGCGCTTTTAATATGAAACTTAATTCCTAGAATGTACAAAATGATGAAACTACTAGGAACTTTGTTGGCCTTCTGTAGCCTTTGGGTGAATGGGGTGAAAGTCTCTTAGTAGGGTCAATCTTATTGGCAGAGGAAACTTTTCCTTAGTCAGGCTTCATAGGGGTGCTCTCATTCTTGTTGTTTGCTCATCTTTCTTCTCTAGTCTTCACTCCCACTACCTTGCACTGCTCTAAACTTTGATCTTTCCAATTCACCTTAGCATTACTAGATAGTGTCCCAAGGGTTTTATTGTTAATTGAGTTCACCAGTTGTCCAATGTGAGTTTCAATATTTTTTATGGTGACAGCTTGGCTATGTAAAGTATTCCTTATTTGAATTAATATTTCATTAATAGGTGATTTCTTTTGGGCATGCTGGGAATTGTCTTAGAATCCTAGTGGTACTGCTGCCTTTGTTGCTTAATTCCTTGGTTTGGCTAGTTTCCTACCAAGTTGTTCTGAGGATTTCCCCCATTGATGGTTGTTATTTTTCCATGAGAGGCTTAGATATTTTCTCCAGCCTGGGGTGCTGGTGTTAGAATAGGGTTTATGACCATGGTTTCGTATGACATTCACAGTTTCTAAAGTTTGTATGCTTTGTTCTACCACTAGTCCATTCGTGAAGCCATCATTGGGTGGAAGTCCTAGCTTAAAATTCATCCTCGGATTATCTAACTTTCTAGAAATAGCAACTAGTTGAGTCGCAAGGAGAGCTAATACATCTGATTCATGTATGCTAGCTAATTTATGGAATGTGACTCTCTCAGGAAGTCATTGTAAATTGTTTGTGGTCATTTCTTCTATCAAATGGTATGCTTCCTCAAAAAGCTTAGACATTAATGAACCTCCTGCAACAACATCTATTATGGACCTCAATAAACATACCAATCCATTGTAAAAGATTTAAATGATTAGCCAATCAGAAAAGACATGGTGTGAGCACTTTCTAAGCAAGTTTTAAATCTCTCTAAGGCATCATAAATGGATTTTCCATCATTTTTAGTGAATGAGATAATATAATTTTTAAGTTTGGTAATATTTGATGGAGGAAAGTATTTTGCTAGAAACATTAGAGCTAAGTCATTCCAGGTTGTGATTGATCCTATGGCAAGTGAGTTAAGCCACACCTTAGCTTTATCCCTCAAAGAGAAAGGGAAAAACCTAAGTCTAATGGCATCGCTGGTGGCACCGTTGTACCAGAAGATGACACAAAGTTCAAGAAAATTGTCTAAGTGCATATTCGGGTTCTCAAAAGATAGTCCCTCAAATTAATTTGGACCATTTAAATTATGGAAGGTCTCAACTCAAGGTGTTAGCCTCAACAGTGTGGTAATTGATAATCATATGGATTTCCTCAATATAAGGGCTAGCATATTCCCTCAGTATTTTCATGATGAAAGTGTTGGAATCGGCCATCTCTATGGGTGTTTCAATGAGTGAACATGTTCTCCTAAGTCATTTGAAAATGTGATCTAACTGAGGGTCAAAAGGGTCGAGATCAGCCTCAGCTCCCTTATGCAAAAAAAGAAAAAACTAAATAAAAATTTGCCACAAATAATCACAATGATTCACACGCGTCAGCTAACAAGCATACATGCAATGCACATATAATATGAAAAAGAGAAGGAACAAATTCAATAACAAATTTTTTTTGGCCTTTTGGCTTTATATTTTTTTTTTCAGCACCTACAAGAAAACACAACATCGATACAGATGCAATTAAAAAAATAATAATAAAATAAAATAAACATGAAAATAAAAGTGTCAAACTTAGATCCTAAGCCTATCAACTAAAGCTTTCCTAAAATTAAAATATTTATTAATGCTTATTCTGGGAAACAACGCCAAAAATGTGACGCGCCAAGACATACCGCAAAGTAAGTTGGTTGTACATAAGGCTGTCAAAAGGGCTCGTTGTTCGCGAACAGCTCGTGTTCAACTCGTTAAGAAGCTCGTGTTTGACTCCTTAATTTCGTTCGATAAGTTAACGA